GTGACAGGCGGCTCCCGACCCAAAATGTCAGCGCTCACACATGAGCAGGCAGCACGCGTCCCATCGGAAAGCGCCGGCGCGGAGGCACCAGCTGAGATTAAAGCGCTGCACACCCCGACCTGCCCCCCGGCCCCATTGGTCCAAGCCACCCCCCCATCCCTCTTGGCTGTCACTGCGGAAAGAGATAACGGAGCAGCACGGCCAGACCCTGGCCGTTCCCGCGGTACCCTGTGCCGCCGGGCACATCCCAGTATAGCGTTAATCCTGCTGCGGGATGGCTCTTTGCAAAAACTAGGTGGGGTTTGCCCCAATCCTGCCCAGTGCTGGGGAATTCTGGTGGTTTGCCTGGCTGCTTTCCCTCCCCGCTGTGCCCGGAGAGCATCCAGCCCCGGGCCAGGATCCCTGGGGAGCAGATGGAGGGGGCGAGAGGAGCCTGAGGATGGGGCGCTCCCCAGCCTTTTCCTCCAGGAACTCTTAATCCTAGAGGATTAGCCAGCAGCCGTGCAGCGCTTCATCTTTCCAAAGCCCCATACGAGTGCTAAGCATTATTATTACTATTATGATTAATTATTATTAAGCAGCTTCAGTCCCTACCACGTTCCGTTGCCAACCTTGCTGCGAGCGATTTCCCAGCCTCAAAGGAGCCGAACAAACACGCGCCGGCTCAGGAGTTTCTTCCCATATGCAATAATTTGGGCTGGCAGCAGTGCAGGGACAGGCTGGGGGCTGGCTGGGATGTAGGAGGATCAGCAGCTCCGCTTTCATCCCAAAGCAACGGCATCTGAGCAGCCGGATCCCTTCAGACCAGCTGCCTGAACCACCCCCCCTTTGCCCCCCCAACCACTTTGCTCCAGCACCTCCCTGGGCGAGAAGGGAACCTTTTTTTTTTAGGGGAACCTTTATTTTTAGGGAAATCCACGACTCAGTTTACCCCCATGCTACCAAGCAGGCAGGAGAGCCCACCACCACCACCACGGCGTGGATGCTTCTTGCCTTACTTGCTGGATTGGAGCTGCTCCAGGGGCCTCATCCCAACGTGATTAAACAACCATTAGGCCTTCTCGCTTCAAAAAATGGGGATTTACTGACGCCCAAACCTCCATTTAAATGCAAATGTGGTGCTTTTAGCCCGGAACCATGGAAATGAGAAGCATTAGAGAGGCAGTGCCACCATCAACCAGCTCTGCTTGGTGCCATCTCAAGAGCAACGTGACCTCCCCCTCCAGCAGCTGGGAGAGGACCGGTGGGCTTGGAGGTCCCACGTCCCAAATCCTCCCCTCTGCGTGTGTTCAGGATGCTTAGCTCTTTCCCATGGGGATGGGAGCAGCACAGCCAAAGCGATGACTGAGGGGACATGGGAGTCGCTCCTCATTTTGGGCAGAGATGCTGCCTGCTTTCCCAAAGTGTCCCCAAGGTGAGGAACATGGAGAGATACCACCCCACCAAAGCAGTGATCCAAAGAAAACCTCCCGTGCCATGCTGGACCCTGCCTTTACCTCCTGCCCCTCTCATCCTTCACCTTCCGCTTACCAGCCCTGCCTCCCCATCCCCATCCCCCTTCCTACAGGTAATTACAAAGGACATCAATTAAATCCCTGGCTCCCCCCTACCACACACCCTGTTGTTTGAAGACCTGGCAGTGAATAATGCAGGAGGCTGGAGGGGGAAAGAGCTGCTCAGGTTGTTTCATTATTGATGAGAGATGACAGATCCACGGCTGACAACCTGCCTAAGAGATATGATTAGCTTGTAAAAAATTAATCGCGCTTCTTAGGGATGACGCGAGCTGAAAACCCGAAGGAGCGGCATTATCGATGTTCCCTAATTTCAGGGGACTTTGAAAAGGTTTTAGCAAAATTTGGAAGAGGCAATTACATTCAATTAGAGTCACAAGTGCCGAGACGTCACCGCTGCTCCGAGACGCCACGGCCGCATCCCCTGCTCCCTTATGCTGCTGCTCGTCCTCCTTACTGCAAGGCATAGATAAATATACATTTATACGGCAGACCTGCGTTTTTGCCATGGGGATCCTCCTTCCCAACTTCATCCTCTGCAGCTCGACCTCGGATATCGGGCTCAGGTCTCCCCCCATCGTGCCATTTATGAAGGCAACTACACCCAGAGCACTCTGCCTGCTGAAAATGCCCTCGCCTCCCCCTGCACTCTGTGTTTCACCATCCCAAGATCCATAAAAACCCACCGATGGTGAGGATAACCGTGCTCATCCTGGCACACACCCAGAGCCGGGGTTTTGGCAGCCCGGCTCTGCATCTCTCAAGGACACAGCACATCCAGGCTCCCAGCCCTTTGGGATATTAGGGTGGGGGGGCACAAAACCAGGGATGCTCCAGCTCGATGGGGCTGGGAATTCCAGTGGGAGCCATGGTGGGCTTTGCTTGGTGCTCCCCCTGCCTCCCCCCACTTCAGTACTGGGCACAGTTCCTACCGTGGCCGGGTTCACAGGGCCACCGAGCACATGCATAATTCATACTTCCCAGCTCACGAACGCAAGGATCTTTGCAGATCTACCTGCAGATTCAAAACCGTGGCAGTGAGAGATGGAGAAACCCAAGGTCACGGACATGCATGGGAGGCCAGACCCCTTGCCCATTAGCCGAGCCCCAAAACACAGGCCCAGCTTCCATGCATGTCCCCGTTACTCCAACGCTAGCCTTAGCTTTGGGACCCTCCGGATTTGCAGGCAGGAGGGGTACACTTTCCCCAAGGTTTTGGCTGGACCAAGCTCCCCAACCATGGATTTTGGGTCACCATGCTGAAAAGGATGGAGGGGAGTGGTTGGGTGGGTTTTGGCTGGTGGTGTTTTGGGCCCTGGCCCAAACTCAATCTTGAGCAAGGATGCATCAGTCCAGCTCTTAATCTAAATATCCCCATTCCCCCAGCCCCCTTATTGCTGTATTGCTGCAGGCTGCACCCACAGAAGGTGACAATTTCCCAAACATTCCCCTAAAAGCAACAAAGTGGGCTCGACCCATTCACAGCAGGGAAGTGCACGGGGGGGGTCCCCAACTGCCGAGCCAGCCCAGGGAATTTACCCCTCTGCTGCTTTTCCATCCTCTTCTTATATACATTTATAAATAGCACATTATTTAGCATGAGGTCCTCCACCTAACGAGCATCCACGGCTGGTCTAGTGGCGGATGTACAACCACCCCATCCCCTTTGACACCACCATGGTCCCCCCATGCGAAGCCATCCAACGAAAAGCAGCATCTCAGCATTGGCAGGGAGGGCATCACAGTGCTTGCAAATGCTGATGATGGTGGGGAACAGGCCCCAAGGAGGTTCAGATGCTCCTCCCCATCGTAAAAGGCTGAATCCACGGCTGGTCTAGTGGCGGATGTACAACCACCCCATCCCCTTTGACACCACCATGGTCCCCCCATGCGAAGCCATCCAACGAAAAGCAGCATCTCAGCATTGGCAGGGAGGGCATCACAGTGCTTGCAAATGCTGATGATGGTGGGGAACAGGCCCCAAGGAGGTTCAGATGCTCCTCCGCATCGTAAAAGGCTGGTGGAGATCAGCTGCTGGAGGGGAGGTGGTCTGGGACGCCACAGATGCCGGGCATGGGCTTGCAAGCACCCACCACCCATTAAAGACCCATGGCAAGACCCCATCCCACCACATTAACCCATGCAGCCAGGACCCATCGCACCTACACCTCCTACAAAGAATGGTTTTAGCATCCCCTGGGCTCATTTCTCCAGCAAATCCCACCGGCTCAGGACCGAGCTAGCAGGGAGCGAGTCCCTGCATAACAAACAGGAGCAGGCGCCCACCCCCACCCACATTTTGGCTGTTTCTTTGCTGCCTTGTAGGGCCTCGTTTCTTTATGCATCTCTCAGCATACAAGATGTTCCCCTCGGGGAAAAGGAAATTAATTTTATCCCTTTGAATTCAGCTCGCTTAGCGGTGGCTGTGGAGGGATTCCATTCCCCAGGCCCCTCCTCTCCCTGCTGCTGCAGTAGCAGGCACGGGGACCCGGCTGCCTCGGGGACCATGGGGATGACAGTTCCCCTAAATCTTTGAAATTCAGATCAGAACCAGACACATCACCGACATCTTTCCAGGGGGAGAAAGAAGCAAGTGTGACACTGTCTGGCATCCCCCGTGCCTCAGTTTCCCCACAGCAACTCTAATCCCCATGGATATCCCACACGCAGCAGCCACATTGCTTCAAAACGATGACTCGCATCTCTCCCATCCCTCCCCATCCCAAATCCCTTCCTGGTCCCAATGCTTTTGTTCGCTTTCCTTAATGCATCCCTCTCCTCGTGCATGCAGATGCAGGTCTCTGAATGCAGCAGCCACCAGCTGGAGTTTCACTTCTGCCTTTATTTGCACTTCAGTGCCGGATTTTTTCCCCCCTCCCAAAGCCCCCAGCACCTCTGCTGCCGACTCTTAATTCCCCTGCCATTTCCAGGCTGGCCTCAAAGAGACCCCAGCAGCTTTCGGGCTATTTCCCCGTCACCCTTCATTAGCCAGCGTGCCGCAAACGAAGGCCACTGAATTAGTCACCCGCCTCTGCTGGAGCAGGTCTCGGCGTCGGGCCAAAGGTCTGCCCAGCATCCGGCTGCTCCCCCCTCCCTTTCCCATGCCTGCACCCAGCGATGAGGGACTTTTCCTGGATGGAACGGCTTATTTGCCCCTTCCATTGCATGGTCCCTTTTCAACACCAAAAGAAACGGGGAGGCAGCACCGTCGGGCTGCTCGGAGGAGATACTTTTCCTCCCTTTGTGCTTCCTTTTGCTTTCCTCTGAGCCTCTCTGTTTACCAGGCAATAAAGCCGGCTCTGTGCTGCCCACTCTGGGCTGCACCTTTTCCCTGGAGCCCAACCCATCCCAAACATGCAAAGCTCATCCGGAAACCTCCTGCCAGCTTTGCCCGCTCAAAGTCACCTTGCCCCAGACTTCCAGCTCCACGCTCCAGGCTTGCTCGGCAATCATTAATCGGCTTCTCCGCATTCCCGGCATGGAAAAATGCCCCTGCAGGTAACCCTGCCCTGGCATTCCGACATGCAGCTGGCTGGCAAGCTGGTCCTCTCCGCCGCCGCTCTGCTCCTCCTGACTTTGGCGTACAGGTTTTATAAGTCCCGCTCGCTTGCAGGGGGCAAAATCCTGCCGGCCGACATGGGAGGAGAGCAGAGGGAAAATGCTGCCCGGGATGGGGATGGTGTGGCGGGTCTGCGACGGAGGTGGGTGTTTGGCAAGGAGGCGAGGAGGGGTGGTGGGGATGGACGAGTGAGCGTCCCGGGGACATGGCGCACGCCTCCCCGGGGGGATCAAAGTCTGCCAAGGGGTGAGGAGGAGGAGGAGGAAGGAGAGGAGAGGGATTCTGAACCCATGGGGACACAGCGCATGCCTCCCCGGGGGGATCGAAGTCTGCCGAGGGATGAGGAGGAGGAGGAGGAAGGAGAGGAGAGGGATTCTGAACCCATGGGGACACAGCGCATGCCTCCCCGGGGGGATCGAAGTCTGCCGAGGGGTGAGGAGGAGGAGGAGGAAGGAGAGGAGATGGGTTCTGAACTGAGGCTGACTTGCAGGAGAGCAGGGATAGCCAGGAGGGGAAGTGAGCTGGGAAGCAAGCGGGGAAGTGAGCTGGGAAGCAAGCTGGGAAGTAAGTTGGGAAGTGAGCCAGGAATTGAGCCAGGAAGCAATCCAGGAAGTGAGCCGGGAAGCAAGCTGGGAAGTAAGTTGGGAAGTGAGCCAGGAATTGAGCCAGGAAGCAATCCAGGAAGTGAGCCAGGAAGCAAGTTGGGAAGCGAACTGGCAGGAAAGCCAGGAAACGAGATGGGAAGTGAGCCAGGAAGCGAGCTGGGAAGTGAGCCGGCAAGTGAGCCAGAAAGCAAGCCAGGAAACCAGCCAGGAAGCGAGCCGGGAAGTAAGCTGGCAAGCAGGCTAGGAAGCAAGCCAGGAAGCAAGCTGAGCTCTCATGACCCCGGGGATGCAGCCGAAACATGGAGCAGCCGCGGGGAGGAGGGCATGTTTGCCCCAAGCACCGGGCTTCCCCCCAGGATTGCTCATGCCCAGGTGGCAGGTGACGGACACGCCCACAGCACGGAGCAGGATTTGGCTGGCAGAGGCGGGAGGCGGGAGGCCGAGGGACACAGGGGCACAATCCAGACCCTCAGTGTCACCTCGGACTTGGGGCTAACGATGACAGCGAGCAACGTGGGGTCGGATGCCTCCTACTCTTTCTCCTCGGTCACGAAGATCCAGGTGGAGGAGAACTACATTGGTGAGCGGCGGGCAAAGGATGGGGCCGGCCAGCCCGTCCCTAGCCTCAAAGGTAAAGTCTACGACTACTATGTCCAATCCATCTCCCAGTCAGTGTCGATGAAGAGGTCCCTCCCCTACATCCCTCTGGGGATATCCCAGCGCCGCAGCTCAGAGCAGGTCAATGCAGAGCTGCAGAGTTTTGCAACCCAGGAGCTGGACCCAACTTCAGCAACACAGGATCCCACCACCTCCTCCGTAGCTCCACCACCTACAGGGAGCTTGGACATCTCCCCTGAGCCACCGTCTCCTGGCCGCAAGAAAAGCATCCTCCAGATCGCTGACAGCCCCCACCTCCAGCTGCCCATGGAGGGTTTTGGGGTCACAGCACCAGCTGGCACACAGCCTGCAAGCCCCAGGCCAGGGCTGGTGGCCAGTGCTGACCTCTTCCAAATGCCACCCCACACACACCTGGACCTGGGGAACTGCTACGATGTCCTCTGCACAGCCAAGGCACAGAAGCTTGGTCATCTCCAGGAGGCTGCCTACAAGGTGATGAGTGACAACTACCTTCAGGTGCTGAGGACACCCTCCATCTACGGCCGCCTCAACGCCAGCGAGCGGGAGCTCATCCTGCAGCAGAGGATGAAGGGGAAGATGTATGTGGCTGTGGCAGACATCAACATGCAGGAGCCCGGCCTCCACACCAGCCGCCTCTGCTACTATGATGACAGAGGGGACTGCTGGCATCACCTCTGCCATGTGCCACCAGAGGTGGTCTCCAAGGGGTGTGCCATGTGCAGCATGTTCAACTACCTCTTTGTGGTGGCTGGCTGTGAGGGCATGGGCCAGATGCAGAGACCTTCCAACCGTGTCTTCTGCTATGACCCTCTGACCAACATCTGGAGGGAGATCTGCCCCTTGAACCAAGCACGGCCGCACTGCAAGCTTGTGGCCTTGGACGGCCACCTCTATGCCATTGGTGGCGAGTGCCTCTACACAGTGGAGCGCTACGACCCCCGGCAGGACCGCTGGACCTTCACCGCACCCCTGCCCCATGACACCTTTGCCGTGGCCCACACAGCTACAGTGTGTGATGGGGAGATCTATGTGACGGGGGGCACCTTGCGCTATGTTCTGCTGTGTTACGCTGCCCGCTCGGACAGCTGGAGGGTCTGCCCGGTTGGCGGTGGCAAGGACAGGACAGCTGAGATAGTGAGCACGAACGGCTTCATCTACCGCTTCGACCTCCACCGCAGCATGGGCATTGGTGTCTACCGCTGCGGAGCCAAGGCCAAGCTATGGTACGAGTGTGCCGTCTATGCCATGCCCAACCTGTCCAGCTTCCAGTGCGCCGTGGTGGGCAGCCTGGTTCACTGTGTCGGCCGGCACTTCCACATACGCTTCTTGGCCGATCATATCTCACCACGCTTCGGGACCAAGGAGCTGCAGCCTTTCCCATCACCCCGCGGCAGCCTCCTCCCAGCTGTCCTGGTGCTGCCGGAGGGAGGGATGATGCAAACGCAGGTCTGAGGGATCCATGCTGGGGCCTCATGCAACAGTGGTCATGGCTCAGACCACCATGATGGTGAAAGACGGTAGAAGAAGCCACACTGGACCACATAGCATGGGACCAGCACTACCAGGGCAATGTTACCCATACCTACCATCAAGCAGGCATCTTCCCAGTCCCCGTAAGTAAGGAAGGAGACAAACTGCCTGTGGATACTGCCAGTAAACCCAGCCTTGAAGACACAAGGAAGAGCAAAGAAGGAGCTGGGTGGACTTGTTTGTTTAGGGGTATTTAAACATAGGTGTGCTTGCTCGGATGCAAACAGCCTACGGCTCGCTGCAGGCTCCCAGCTGTGCACTGCCCAACAAAGAGCTGCTTTACACATGGGGTGTTTAACATTGACCTGGACATGCAACACACAGCAGGGGTTTTAGGGTGGAGGAACACGTCAGGGAGGTTTCATCCCCATCACCCAAAGGTCAGCCCCATTGGCATCAAGCCAACATTGAGCCTTCAGGCTTGACCGCACACCTCACCCCAGGGCTGGAGGCTGGGGGCCAGCGGGTGCGCTGCTCCTACCAGTGCCTTGTTTCCTTATCCTCAGCATGGAATTATAGATATATCTATATAAAAATATATTTATATGCGCTATAGATTTATAAACAGCTGGTCTTACACGAAATTAAAGCGAACATTTGGTAAAATTAACCACAGGCTACTGTTGCGCATCATTTCAAGCCGTAGCCAAGCCTAATGGGAACAAAGAGGCCGACGCATGTTTTACATCGCTAATTACTGCACAAACAATGTCTCTGAGGAGGCAACCAAAAGCAAAGCAGGGCCCTGGATGTAAGCAGCCAGGCTTTCATCCCCTTTCCCCAGGTTTCACTGACCTCACTCCGCTGCCTCCATGTCCTGCCAAAAGCCTACTTTGGGTAATTGCATTTTCTTCCCCTCTAGCTGTTAGAGAAACGGCTCATCATCCGTCATCTGTCAGCCCCAGACGGACAAAAACAGCTCCCAGAGGGACCAAACCCTCCTGTACCTGCCTCCTTGGTGGCAGCAGGTCATGAACATGAAGTCATGGAAGCACTTGAGGTGTTTGGAGATGGCGCTGGAGGGGCTCATGGCATCACCGTTTATGCCTTGCTGCTCATGGTGGTTTAGGACAGCTTAACCTGTGTTAACCTATGTTAGCCATTAACCCAGGTTCTCTCAAAGCACTCCCAAAAGGATTTATTAATTCTCTCAGTCACTGCCTGGAGGCCTCGCGTTTCTGCCTTCAAGGGCTTACCATGAAGGTCAGTGGCATCCATCCAGGTTAGGAGACCTTGAGAGGCTGTGTTAATTAACCCTACCTCTGAGGTTTTCTCGTGAGCTGTAGCATGTTGCTTCTGCTGATGGATGATCTTCTGGTGACACATCCTTTCCTCATGCTAAAAGCTCCCATGGCCTCTTTCCACACCCTCGGGGCCCCCTGGAGACCCACCCCACCAACAATGTGCCGGGGCACCAGCCTCCTGCATCCCAGCGTCTTTCTCTGCTGGAATGCTTGGGCTGGTGAAATTTATGAGTGAAAAAAGCTCTTTGCTATTATCACTATTATTTAACTCTCTGCTGTTTAGCTACCTCCATAGCCTGTGCTCAGAGCAGCAAGCTCAACAAGACGGGCTCAGGCATGCTGCAACACGTTTCTACTTCTCCCCGTGCAAAACCCAGGAACTGGCTTCTTCGTGGGAGCAACCCAGACCCTTTGCAACCTGAAAAAGCCTCTTGTCCCCATCAGCATCCCAGCTTCATGCCCTGTGGCACCCCTGCTGCAGTAGGCTGGGTGCTGGGGAGCAGAGGACACGCTGGCTGGGTGGGAGCGGGGCAGCAGGAGCCCTTCCAGGTGACAGCTGATTTTTATATTTTTTTTCATCCCCTGAAAAGCTTTCCCGGGATCCTGCCCTTCTCACAGTGCCTCTTTGCTTCTGCTTAATATTTCCCCTTGCCTTTAACTCCTTGCTGCCAGGCTGCAACCTCAAAACCCAGTCCCCAGACGGACAAAAACAGCTCCCAGAGGGACCAAACCCTCCTGTACCTGCCTCCTTGGTGGCAGCAGGTCATGAACATGAAGTCATGGAAGCACTTGAGGTGTTTGGAGATGGCGCTGGAGGGGCTCATGGCATCACCGTTTATGCCTTGCTGCTCATGGTGGTTTAGGACAGCTTAACCTGTGTTAACCTATGTTAGCCATTAACCCAGGTTCTCTCAAAGCACTCCCAAAAGGATTTATTAATTCTCTCAGTCACTGCCTGGAGGCCTCGCGTTTCTGCCTTCAAGGGCTTACCATGAAGGTCAGTGGCATCCATCCAGGTTAGGAGACCTTGAGAGGCTGTGTTAATTAACCCTACCTCTGAGGTTTTCTCGTGAGCTGTAGCATGTTGCTTCTGCTGATGGATGATCTTCTGGTGACACATCCTTTCCTCATGCTAAAAGCTCCCATGGCCTCTTTCCACACCCTCGGGGCCCCCTGGAGACCCACCCCACCAACAATGTGCCGGGGCACCAGCCTCCTGCATCCCAGCGTCTTTCTCTGCTGGAATGCTTGGGCTGGTGAAATTTATGAGTGAAAAAAGCTCTTTGCTATTATCACTATTATTTAACTCTCTGCTGTTTAGCTACCTCCATAGCCTGTGCTCAGAGCAGCAAGCTCAACAAGACGGGCTCAGGCATGCTGCAACACGTTTCTACTTCTCCCCGTGCAAAACCCAGGAACTGGCTTCTTCGTGGGAGCAACCCAGACCCTTTGCAACCTGAAAAAGCCTCTTGTCCCCATCAGCATCCCAGCTTCATGCCCTGTGGCACCCCTGCTGCAGTAGGCTGGGTGCTGGGGAGCAGAGGACACGCTGGCTGGGTGGGAGCGGGGCAGCAGGAGCCCTTCCAGGTGACAGCTGATTTTTATATTTTTTTTCATCCCCTGAAAAGCTTTCCCGGGATCCTGCCCTTCTCACAGTGCCTCTTTGCTTCTGCTTAATATTTCCCCTTGCCTTTAACTCCTTGCTGCCAGGCTGCAACCTCAAAACCCAGTAGCTTTTCCTCATTCCCCAGCGTGAGGGTGAGTGATGAATATCAACGACCGTGGGTGGGCAGCTCTCCCCCCGCTCCTGCACTCTCCAATATTAACATGATTCGTCTGGGGAGGCATTTTGGAGATTAAAAGCGTGGGGGACACCCCGTGCCGGAGCACTGCTTGTTCTTCAGGGAAGGACAACCACATTTGGAGCAAAAAGCATGCAGCGACCCTGTGGTTGACAGTGAAATGACTTTTGGCTGCGGTTAAGGGCAAGCAAAGGGGAGAGGACAAATGCAGACTGATACTCAGACCTGGATGATTTTTTTTGCTGTTGTTGTTCCCAAACACCAGCGCAGGGGAGGAGCCTTTGGAGGGCCGGGAGGTGCGGTGACAACGGCGGCATCACCGGCCGACTCCTGCCACCACCACCACATCCTGGTCATTAATTTCCAACCTCTGCGTTCTGCTGATGGGCAGCGGCTTCAAACCGTGTGCTTGCAGCTCTCAGGGTAACCATAACACCATGGAGAAGTTTCAGTGCAGCTTGGCTTTAAGCAGATCAGCAAAGCTGCCACAATTTACAGGGAAAAAGACTTGGGAAACAGGCAGTGCATCCTAATAAAACTCCGCAGCGTGCACCATGGAGCTACAAAGCACCCTGAGCAAGTTCGAGTAATGGACTTAGAAGTTGCAATAAACCCATCCTGGCTGGGGATTTACCTGGAGGGTCCTGCTCTTGGGAGCCTCTTCCCTTGCTGCAACATCAGTCACCACAAACCGGGACCCTTGCTGGGTTGGGGACCACCAGGGCTGGGTGCTGGAAGAGAAAACACAGCCACCACCACGTGAGAGCTGGGAAAAGCAATCTGCACCATCCCCTAGTGATTCTTCCATCGCTACGGTTCCCTCAAGGGTGCCACCAAGGGTGCTCTCCAGCAGGGAGCTCCTTCCTCGCCAGCGCCTGGACCCATCGCTGCCCTCCGAGCCCTCCCACCTGGTTGATCTTCCAAAAGAAGGGTGCAACCACTAAACCGCGCTGCTTTGCAACCAGATATAACCTTTGCTCTAAATTCGGTATTTTCTTCTAATCAGGAAGAGCCATTATCTACCCCCGCCACGTTTATTTAGGCAATTACATAGTTTAATGTACATTGATTCAGATTCTTAATTTTTACATTTTTGATTATGATAAAAAACCGGGGAGTGACGCATTTCTTATTTGCTCGGCGCTCTTTTTCCCTTCGCAATGTGCCAGGCTGCATGCGAATGGAAATTGGAAGTCAATTAAAGAAGTGCAAAACCAGCATTTTAAAATCTTTTTTATTAGTTAAACACGGCTACCTTCAACGTGTCGGCTACAGCAGGATGGGAAAAAAAAACCCAAAAAGCAAAAAAGCGAGCTTATCCAGACATGCTTTGCATTTAAAACCAACGCGATACATGAAAGAAATACTAAGCGTAGCCAACTGACAAATGAAGTCTCTCGTTCCTGACAAGCGGGAGCAAACTCGCATCGGTGGTTGAAGGAGCCGGGTGGGAATTTAAAGCCGGGGAAGGGAAATACCCATCGCAGCATCTCTAGGTACCAGTAAGGGAGGTGGCACCTCTCAGCCCCTGGCCATGGTTTCTCCCAGACCCTCTGAAGAGTTGCCTACAGCAACATCTACTCTACTATGGGTTGCGTTGCCATCGGGAGAGCCTCCATGAGCTGTTTAAAGCCGAGGAGAGATGTCCCGTCCTCTCCCACTCATTTCTTCACCCCTCCTGCATCTAATCCAAGCTGACCACCTGTGCACGGCCACCAGCAACCCCTTGGTAGAGCAGATCCTGGAGGCACCACCCTCAGCCCTTCTCCGCTCTGGTTTGCAACCAGGAATGACTCAGTTGTGTAGACAGGGAGCTGCACCCAAGCTGCAAAACCTCATTTACAAGCAGACACTGATGACCAAGGCTCAACAGGAC